ATTACCGAACTAGTTTCACGCCGATTTTAGCAATATTCCAGTAATATCACGGTAGGGGGCACCAGAAATGGACTCCACACATTGTACCCATGTGGGGAATCGAACCGGGTCTTTGACGTGACGAGCTGACCAAGGTGTGTGTCAAATGAACGCTACCAACTGGCGAACTGACCGCTATGTGAATGAAATTATCACTATATTTACTATTGCGTTTTATTATTGGCTGTCCATAGATTATAGGTAGACTTCAACCTATTCCCCTATTGTATAGGGGATTATCACGTCTGAGTGATTTCTACATACAGTAAACTACGGTTATAACGAACTCAAAGGGGCCACTAATTTTAGTTCGTTTTAACCGTAGTTCGTTATAAGCATATATACAGGATATACACCGCAAATGCCCGGGGGATAACAGTACGTTATACCCATCAGTTCGTTATAAGCGTGTTCGTTATAAACGTAGTTTAGTGTTTGAACAAAACGACTGGCAAAGTGGGAAGACCCACCCCACCCCACCCCACCCAACGCCACCCTCCACACACCCTCCAAACCAAGGCGAAAAAACTCCCTGTAGTAACACGCCCACCACTGCTGTCATAACTAATACGGTTGTTCCACACATTTTGAACATATTAGAAACATATTTAGTCCATATTTATTTGTTATGTTATGTGGCCATTTCTTCTCATTTACCTGACGTACCCAAAAAGGCACAGGGTAATTATTTCGTATAACCTCTGATTTTCCCAAATGTAACGCAGAATTGAGTCGTTTCATCTAAATGAACCTGACATTCCGCCCAGCACCGTGCTATTTGCTTACTAATGATTCTAGAAGGCCAACATCGAAGGGCTTACAAGCTATTTTCCCCCACGTCTTATTACATGTGATTTTCCCATCAACTAGTTGTATCACTGTGTTTGCACAATGAAGACTTCAGACTGGCTAACTATTATCGGCTAATGCTTCTCTTGTGCGCGGAACAAATGGACGAATCAGTCATTATTGAAAAGGTTAGGGGAACAGTATCACATGGCTACTGAATATCAGACTAAATATCCTTTTGATTCTCTTTTCTTGTGAACTATAAAACTAAAAGGCACATTTTGTTGGTTTTGATTTTATATCATTTGTAATTTAACACAAAACATTAATAATATTGATAATGTAAAAACAATATCATTTTGTCATCAATCAGAGTTTATAGCCATGGTGGCGCATGTTATAAGGCCTTTGGGACACATCACGTGTGTTGTTTGTTGGTTTGTTTAACGCCGCACTCAGCAATTGTCTAGCTATATGGCAGCGGTCTGTAAATAACCGAGTCTTGGCCCGACAATCTAGTGATTGATATCATGAGCATCGATCTATGCAATTTGGATACAATGACATGTTTCAACCATGTCAGCAATCGATCTCGTTAGTCGCCTCTTACGACAAGCACAGTCGCATCGTATGACCAGCATGGGTTGCTGGAGACCTGTTCTACCAACGGGTCAGATTACCACTTACCAAAGCTGTTTCATGAAAGTCTTGACTCAATACCCCGCCCACTCCATGATCAATGTTTAGTAAAATGAGAGTCTAACTGTACACAAGGCTTGGGTTTCAACTTCAATAAATCGAATTCCCTACCCTCAAGGATCAAATCATTGTGACATACTAGAAAATGTACGTAGATACCCTTAAAGCGATGACGTTTAAATATCGAGTGTCTCTTAAAACAGTATCCTTATTTCGTTATGTTATACGGCTTGGGGCCTCCGTCGACAAGTTACTTCTATGAACCACATGTCATGGAGCTATTGGTATTTGACGAGACGGCACTCCATTAAGGTCAGTAACGTAGACCAGCGATGTTGTATCGATGAGTGAAGTACGGAAGGAATCAAACTAAAACGTGCATATTGTTCGATATCATACCCGTTTTTAGATATGGCAAACTGCATACCACACATAGAGACCTACACGTGCACTCTAACCGTGACCCTTCATTCAGAATATTGGTCATAACCTCCTTGAGGTATCATACATTGATTTACAGAAAGAAGTTCCATGAACCAATCATAGAAAGTATACACATTCCAACCAAAACCTATCATGTATTATTCTGGTTAGAATTTAGAATTAAGCCCCAGAAAGCCTGTGTCAAGTGGTAGAGGGTCCGCGTCGATCCCCGGCCGCGTCATACCAAAAGACGTTAAAAGATGGTACTTGTTGTTACCCTGCCTGGTGCCCGGCATTAAGTGGCTAAACAGGACTGGTTGGCTCGGAGTCAGTATACTGTGTCTGAGTGGGGTATTCATGTTAAACTGCGGCATGGTATCTCAGTGAGCTGGCACTATAAATCGGCATCAGTCCGGACTAGTACAAGCAGCCACACACACACACACACCCGTGCATGCACGTCGCTATATAAGTGCAATAATCTTGGACGCGAAGTTAAACCCCATTTCACCTCACCTACAATGTTGTCGACTAACATTGGAGTCGACTAATTGGATCTGGTGGTCGGGCTCTCTGTTCTGGCTGATTGTGTGTCATCGTGCCCCAACGGCGTGGATCGTTAGCTTTGAGTCACTGGTTTGATTCTTTACAGGCTAACGTCATATAGCCGAGAGATGCTGACTGCTGTTGTCTCACTAGTGGTGCCGCATCCTTGGGCGACTTTTGATCATCACCAGTGTAATTATCAGAGGTTGACATCCCGTACTGACCACAGTCACATTTTGAAGGGCAACAGTGCTTGTGGACAGCGTAGTCTTAATTTTGGCGAACACGTTCCATGATTGAATTGTTCTACGAAATAAGCAGCCCTCTGGCTTTAAAGTCCATATTACACTGTTACCTCTTGGTGGAGGGACATAAGACACAAGTCACTGATTTACACTTCATCCGCATTACGATGAGGGTTAACGCCATCCTTTCATCACCATATCTGACTGAAGGTGGGGCATGATCTTGTATTTACGACCTTCGACGTCCGTGCTTTCCGTACAACTGTCACCTCCATCTTCTCCTGATCCTTTAATCTGACAAACCACATCAAAGTAACTAATTTCATTCATTAGCATGTTGTGCGCGAATCTTCCCACAAGCGAATTATGGCTGTGGGGATATTCATCCAATGCCTTATTTCAAACAGGTTCCCAAAGAAGATACCTCGACCTCACGTAATTCTGTCTCCAGCTAACTATTACGTCATTGGGGTAAAATTTATAACTCAATTATTTCTACGAGAGCCATGAAGATGGTTCATACCTGGCTCTAACGCTGTGGTAATTAAACAGACTGCATTCTGGTATTTCTACGATGTTAAGACGCTCAGGAACGCGGCCACCAGCCGCGCGGTTTCTTTAATCCTATATAAAAGTTTGTTAACCTTTAAATGTCGTCAAACCGCTGTTTGCATGCACGCCATCAACAGTGAACGTGGACGTCTGTTACTGCTAAGTAGGTTATCAATACAGTGGTTACATCCTGTTGTATTTATGTAAACACAGACATCAAAACAACGTTGTCAAGCATTTATTTAAAAAACATATTACCTTAATTCACTCTTATACCATGAATTAAAATATATTTCTTTTCAGGATTCTTATTTGTTAACACTAAACATAAACACAACCGCATAATTAATAATAAATTGACAAAATTAGTTATATTAATTGTTCATTTATTTTATGCTCGTTTTATCTTCTTTTATGATGAATTGATCTCATATTTGTGCACTCCTTAAGCATATTCCTGTGGCACGGGATACTGTTTCACCGACCCCTTCCTTTAATACAAGGCTTGTTCCGTGCACATCATCTCCACCAACACTGCACTAGGTGGCACATGCCTAGTTCACAATTAAATAAGCAACATTTTCAAAGCACTCATTTTGCGTGAGATAATAAACGAGGGATTTGAAAGTGATTCCTTTCAGGTACTGAAATTTCCATCAATAATACGATTGATGAAGTGACAACCATGGAATTGCTGTCTAAATATGAAATATATATACAAATAAAAGAGCCAAAATCCATGTTTAGTGTAAAGTGCTACCATGTTAGTGATAAAACATCAACGCTAGAGAATAACCTCTAAACAGATTCCACTGAACGAAAAGTGCAAAATATCGGTGAACATTGCGAATATAATCAACTGAAATTGCAAATAAAATCTCCTTTAAACATAAATGTTTAGACAGAAAATCTAACCATAAATTATACCAGTCTATAAAGTCGACGGTCCAATACTGTGTTACCGGGTATAACTATGTAACGACGGTGATGACATTTGGCCCGGTTGATCAATACGACGAGAGACAGATGGATCATAAGAGCGGGCAATCAGTGCTACTATATGACGAACTGCAAGGGGAAATAAATGTGCTGAGGCATAATTGGTAACCTGACACTGATTGTTATGGGTTTTCTCTGTGGTGACTAAAGTTTGTCATACTGGATTGTTCCTTGGCTTAACCCGGACCGTTCAGTTTTCGTTGCTCGTCATTGGATACGGAAGGGTCTGAATCTTTCTAGGCTGTGTTTGTCATTTCTCCTTAGTACATTGCAGCGATGGTGTGTAACTCGTGGATTCCCATTTAATTAGAATGAAGTAATTTACCATGTGGATATAACACGCCAAGGCCAGAGAATAACCAGTCTCGATTATCCGACGAAACAGATTCCATTCGGCGTTAAAGGCAAAATAGCGGTGCAAATTATATGAATGGATAGCTGTTAATCGGTGAAGACACAATTGTTCGCACGAACCAACTAGCTTCCGTAACATTTTTAATCATTATGTGTTATGTTTATTTTTTAACAAATGTCGTTGTTTCACCCAAAAATAATGAACAGCCGAATTAACGCTCGTACTGTTATCGCATATTTTGTTATGTTTCAAAGCTACATTTTAATGTCTGCTTAGCTGTAGTATTGTGAGTAGAGGTAACAAGAACAATGTTACAGTTTTACTGATTTTTAATTATTCTCATTCTATTTCAGTGCATGCCCTGAACAAGATAGAAGAGCTCCGAGGCCCCTCCGTAGATTCCTATGACAAGCTAATTGCCTGGCTTGCAGAGATGGCAGAGAATGATAATGTGGAGCTCGACACATCAGTGTTTGTCAAACATTTGAGTCGAGTGTGTGATGGGTCCAAACCAAATAAGAAAGGTCAACCATTCCGTCAGAACTCAGCGTCATGCGAATCCCACACAAGCCACGCAAGTTCGGGATCCCAACGTTACAATAGGTCCACGCGGTCTGTGGATGACAATCTGGACCCAAGGTACATTCTTAGGCAGGCACTGAACAGTCGGCAAGGAACGTTTGCGAGTAGTGACGATTATGAGGAGTCTGAAGATGTGAGGAATGCATCAATGGAGAGTCTGTACAGTGGTTCAGACAGGGACAGTGAGCTAGAGAGTATAGCCACATGTGATTCTAGTATAAGGAGTGGAAAGCATCCCAAATATTACGACTTCAAGAAATTTGTGGGACCAAGTGGGCGATATGCCTACAGCTCCAGTTTAGGAGATCTGGACAGACTGGACAAACAGCCACCGAGTTTGAACCTTGTGCTCAATGCCCGACGGAAAAGCGTCAGCCTCCTCGACTTATCTCCCCCTGATCGAGATTGCTTTGACTTTGAAGAACGCCAGGCACCTTCTCCTCCACCCGTTACTCACAAAGATGACAGCTTCCTGGACGACAAACTGCTCGATGGCAACATCGCAGACATCTTGTTTTCAGTGGAGGCTCTATGGGGCAAGTGAGGATCTACCGGCTCCATTTGTTGGTTTCAGCTTTTGTTGAGCGGTTTCTGCTTCACTGGTCACGTGCCACGGTTTCTGTCCTGCAATGGAGTGATTGGTGGTTTGCACTTGATACTGTGGGAATTTGTTCCTGCACACACCACGCTTTGCACGTGCAATTTCTACACAAGATGCACTTCCGGTACAAGGTGAAGGACACACTTCAACGTTTCTCTAAATGTAAGACCTTTGTCAAATAATTTCATGGACATAGTGCATTGTCGAGATCTGTTATTGGTGCTGCACAATGCAATTTGAGCTAGGTGAACAATCTCGACAAAACGCACAGATTAGCGTTGAACCGGAAACGAGGTGAGCAATATAGAGTCGGGTGGCAAGAAAAGAGTCCGCCATGTTGAAAAAGTGTCTAGTCGTTTGTGGATACAACACTACAGTCCCCAAGTGGGAAACGTTGTATGGGATAGCCAGAGATGCTTGAGTGCTCTGGCCCCCTAAAAGATACAAAACACATCGATATATCACATGTCATACTCAATCTTTGATATATTACAGTATATCTATCTTTATTGTGTTGTTTTGTTTCCTTGTTTCATAATCAAGTTGAAACCATTGGCATAGGCATATAATCATAATATTTTTTGTCTTTGAATTGAAATTGAAATAACACTTCTGTAGTTTTTTTCATAACGGTGAATATACGGCAAAACTCCTCCAGAACCATAAATATAGACTCCTTTGCGTTTATCTTTTCATAAAAATTAATATAAATCCTAGTTTAACTACATAAAATTTGTTAAACAATTACGATTTCTCATAATCGTCGAAAGCGTTTTGTCGTTGATATTTACCCGGACAGTTACCCGCACTTTACAGAACATAGCATACACTACAAAAATGTGTACTATATATTGAATATGAGCAAAAATCGACTTTATGCAAATATTTTTATGTTCTATATAGACATATGTTTCTTCTAGCTAGTACTGTGAAGATGTTAAATGTCTGTGAGTAGGTATCATTACGTGTTTCTATAAAAGACAAGGGTTTTACCTGAACTTCATGGCGTCCTTTTTACCACTGCACACAACTTGAATTGTCTAAAGACAGTTATAGATGTATTGTTAACATGCAGTGTCCTCACGTAGACAGTTGGGTACATGAACACATATCTACATGTAGGTTTTTTTCTCAGTTGACAACTGATAGTTTTGGTAGTATTTCTATGTAGTATGGACAGCATAGAATTGTTACGGTGCGATACAATCAATGTTTTTGAAGTATTTTAAGGAATAGTCGAGTCAGTGCAGAGACTTTGTTCCAGAAAGGTACACCAGGTGAGGTGTTGGTGATTAGTATTTCTAAAGTGAATATTTCTCATTCTTTCTAAATAACTGTATTTCAGAATTAACCCTTTATGTTTCTCCTTGTTGTCGATTTCTAAACAGTGAAGTAATTTACATGCTGCAGTGTCAAAGCGTCTGAAGTTCATCTGTTTTTGAAGAAAACTCTATCAAAAATTGTTTGAGTTCATACATAATCATACTGGCTGTATTATTAACACTTGTATATCCATTAGGATATATTTGTTTCCAATAATTTATGTCAAAGTGACTTCTTGATGTTTCACTGTTATTAAAACAAAATGCTATTGATATCGAGAAAGAAACATTCTAAAATAATCTGAAGAGGAAACATCAATATTAAAAACATCTTCCTGGGCCAAGGGATTGGACTGATTGTAAAAGTCCAGTTTCCACCCTTGCCGAACTAGGCTGTAATTTCTGGGCTCGATCGTAGCGCCACCAGTGGCTATTACGAATTATGTCCCTTCTATGTCGCTCCTATTGGCCAATCAGATTTCACCTCCCATACCACTTGCATTTGATTCAAACAAATTGGCTGCGCCCTGTCAAGACGATCTGAACGATAATCAAGATCTGTACTATAATAAAACGTGTCTTACTAGTGCATCAGATCACCAAATATTTGGAAAATATCTGTTGACGTTAAGTTGACGGTACACATGCTATGCAAATCCTGCAATCGACCGAAATCCGCTCGACAGTTTACAAATGTTGATTTCGCTACGTGATTTAGATTGGACTATGCATGGGCTCGTTAGTCCAGCCAAAATATAACTCCATAATTACAGCCTAGTTCGGCAAGGGTTGAAACTGGACTTTTATAGTCTGTTACCTCCTTGCCTCGGGAAGATGTATTTTAAAAAATTGGATCGGAATGTCCAAACTACATTTTGTATCTTATCAAAATATTTCAGTCAAACAAATGTGTCTGAATATTTGAAGACTTCGGGGTGATCAGGGTATCAAACTTGGGATTATCCTGTTCAATGTTAAGGAACTTTTATGGTCTACCGTAATTCTTCAGGATCCGAACTTTCCTTTTAAGTGTGAAGGCCTGTTCACAACAGAATTGTGAAATATGAAATTTTATCTTTTATAAGAAATACTTCTTTTCTCATCTTCACTAGAATACATGTTGTAGCATTGTACTTGTTTAATAAACCATCAGAGATATTCACAACATAATACTGACTTTGGTTCTGTTTTATTTACAAGACGATTTCCCCTGTTTGTTATTTTGTACTGTGGATAAAACTCACAGATTCATCCGAGCCTTTCATCAGTGTTTGGGGAAACAGGATAAAATGGGTATGTATTGGAACAGCTAAAATAGTAGCTTCAAACCTCAATCATGATTACCATCAGATTACAGCGGAGAGTTCCGCGGCATTAACATTGTGCATTCGTCACCACTCGCCCCTTTCCGTAACCTGCAAGAAGACTCCTCCCCCTTTCGATGAATGTTATATGCGAAAATACGACAAACCAATCAGAATTCGCGTATGATTTCAAGTTCTCCGTCAAAGAATCCCTCAGAAATAATTTTTGATTTTACATATGTCTTGCATCTAAAAATATACCCAAGACACAGTTAAATGTGTTCAATCATACTGTATACTTCCGCATGTCCAGCTGTGCGTTAAATTGCATCTGAAATATATATAATATATGGGGAAACATATGTGAACCATTACGCAACGAGTTGACAATTGTTTCAGGTCTGCCCGTTTGCGCTAGGACGGAACCCGGTCGCAAAAATGGCCATGAGAGGGGCAAGAGTAGCTATTCGGCTTGTCCCGGAATAACACGAGTTGGTCACGAATGTTCGGAATGCGGAATCATACAGTATGATTGAACATATTTAACTGTGTCTTGGGTATATTGTTAGATGCAAGACATATGTAAAATCAAAAAGTATTTCTGAGGGATTCTTTGACGAAGAACCTGAAATCATACGCGCATTCTGATTGATTTGTCGTACTTTCGCACATAACATTCATCGAAAGGGGGACGAGTCTTCTTGCAGGTTACGGAAAGGGGCGAGTGGTGACGAATGGGTCACGAATGGAACATTGCGAAGCGGATCGTTAGATTTATGTAATAATGCATTTGACTGAGTGTAAAAGGCAAATTAGCTTTGAAAACTATGTGAAGGGATCACTGAAAATCACTGACGACACCAGGTGTTCGCGAAAAGGCAAATGCCTGTCAGGAGCACAGTATTGCATGCTGAAGCTGTTGAATGTCTTGCGTGGCTACCTTAACCCTAGACTGGTTCCCGGATCCTCCGCTTGGTGTCGCTGCACTTGTTCCGCTTTTCAATCTGTCGCAGGAACGAACGGGAACCAGTCTACCTTAACCCTCACAGACGGGTGCTAGCGGAAGGGAAGGAATGCTCGTCTGTCTATTAAACAACTGTCACTGTCAATAACGACCCGTGTGCGTACCCTGCTATGAACGCCCCTTCGATTCTGTTGGGACAATTTGACGTTTCGATTTTCGCATGACGTCCTCATCAAAACATTCTGACGTTTGCAACTATATTAAATCTTCAGTCCTTCGTGATTATGATAGCTTCTGTAGGTAGAAATACATTTGAGTCCAATGACGTTTTTCTTGCTTCCAGTCTCGAGAATCATTTACGCCTGGGTAAAACGATGGCAGTCTTTACGTCATTGTGGAGTCAATTTAAAAGTCCTCTTGGTCACACCGTAGACACCTTATATTACACCTTCCGCCTGAATGTACCGTTACTCGAGTTATGTGCAGCTCCACAATATATCTGGTGTAAATCTAACACAGAAGCGTATCCCTTTTCGATCGAATGTATTCTGGCTTGCGTAGATGTATCTGGAGAAAATTACATTAAGAAAAAGCATGGGTCCGTGTTTTTTCACTCACATTCAAATCATAACTTTTTACCCTCTGGTTGTTTTTTTTATAATCAGCTAATCAATATCCAAATTATGAAATTTTCTGTATGTTGTAACTGTCATGTCATATATAAAAATATCGAAATTAATTAATTTTGTCAAAGGATTACATAATTATTTATGTATCAATCATAAAAATCACTTATGGTTCTTTTAAAATCTGGTCATAAATATGACGGCACAGACTGTTATATGTTGACGACAAAGTCCTTGTTTTGCCCTTCTGCAAGTCTATGATAAAGAGATGCAATGTCAGTCTTTATCACCATCATGAGGCTGAAGAAAAACCACGCACACATACACACGCACAACCAGCTGAATGCTATATCCCCATCAAGTATCGCTCGTGTCAAGATAAACACTTCTCCATATCACAATAGCTCTCGCCCAAACCAAACTACCTTCATTAATATACGTTTTCCGATACCACTCGGGTATAAATACGTGGCGTCCGGAAGCTTTTGTCCCCATCTAATACAAAGCACAGTAAGTAACTTACACGTGCGTTGCGTTATCACAACAACCTACACACACTAACACAAGTGCCGGTGTACTCTTATGACATCTTGTTCCTGCAAATGCGTTCTTATAATGTCACTTCTCAAGTAGGATTGGCGCGCATCGCAGTGCTGAGAACCTGCGTTTATCTCGCTGATATATGGTCTTTGATAACAACGGACACTTTCATAAACCATTGGTTATCTAACGTAGGTCCTTATCTTCTAAAAGTGGTCTATCTCATGAGCCAAAAGACCTTTGAACCTCTTCTGTGATTTCTGACGTCAGTCTCTCTAAGGAAAGCGTCTCGTCCCATTGGCCCAACAGACCAGAAAATCGGTGGATGGCAGGATAGCCTAGTGGTTTAAGCGTTCGCTTGTCGCGCCGAAGGCTCGAGTTCGATTTCTCCACATGGGTACAATATATGAAGTCTGTTTATTGGTCCCCCGCCGTGATTTATCTGGTATATTGCTAAAAGCAGCATAAACATCACTCATTCACGATAATATGTATTAACGTCTACGATAGGCTCGTCTACTCTGAAAGTGTGGTTCTCATGAGCCAAACCCCAAATCTGTGAAACGTGGTGATATATCTTCACATTGTCTATACAGACATTCGTGTTGGGACTCGGGGCTTTGTTGCAAAGCCGATTTCATGACGGTCGTTAATATCAATACCACCGTGTCTAGCCAGGGTCCTAGAAATACCCCACCACGACCAAAGAGCTTGGCCAGATGTAGCGTGCAAGTGGTCCATCAATATTAGTGTTTAGAAGCTTTAGACATAATTGATTACTTAGTGACATAGTGGCGATTCTTCATTACCTATTAAAATCGACGAAAAAGCAAATGTAAACGTAATATTCTACAATAGTAAACATCAGCTAAAGGAATGTAAATAATATGTTATTTAACCTATAGCTATCACTGACGTAAAGAAAACATAGGAAAAAGTATCCGTTGATGTTAACGACGCTTCTGAACAGTATTCTAGTTATATCACGGCGTGTCAGCTCGATGTGGGAGGAAAGCCCGAAGTAATGCAGGTCTTTGACGTTTAACACTTTGGTGGAACCCACAGGTATGGTGCTGACAAAACTAGGATTATAACCCACCAAGCGACCCCACGATGATAGATTTCTGGCACACCTAACGGACGCAACTCTGCGCAGCACATTGCGGCGCTTTAGACAACTTTTGTTTGTTGTTTTACGCCGCACTCAGCAATATTCCAGCTATATGACGGTCTGGAAATAATCGAGTCGGGACCAGATCATCCAGTGATTGGCATCATGCGCATCGATCCATGCAGTCGGGATACCATAACATGGATCAACCTAGTCAGCGAGCCTGACCATCCGATCCCGTTAGTCGCCTACTTTAGACAACCATCTTCCCGAGGCAAGAGAGTGAACTGACTTTAAAAGTACAGTTTCCACCCTTGCTGAACTAGGCTGGAATTCCTAGGCTCGATCGTAGAGCTACCCCTTCAAACAAAACGGTGGCGCCCAGTCAAGAAGATCTGATCGATAATCAAGATCTATATTGTGATAAAACGAGTCTTACATCGCGAAGTGCATCAAATCACGTGAGCACCTTGATTAAAAACAGGAGAAGATTTAGAAAATATCTGTTGACAACGAGTTAGCGGTGCACATGCTTTGCAAATCCTGCAGTCGACCGAAATCTGCATGACACTTTACGAACCGGATTTCGATTTCAGTGCGCGATTTTGATTGGATTATGCATAGACCCGTTAGTCCAGCCAAAGTGTAACTCCATAATACCAGCCTAGCTCGGCAAGGGTGGAAACTGGACTTCTATAGTCAGTTAACTCCCTTGCCTCGGGAAGATGTAGACAACTGGCCACACGGAACTCCCCATACTTGTGTATTCCATCTGTATTTCAATACAACATACCAGTTTTTTATGTGTGTCATTAAGAGAAAGAAACAATCAATATACAACTGATATTGGCGTTGGTAGTTTGTACAATGGCTTCTTTCCGAGTCGAATCAAACATATCTACAGTATTATTTCAGGCATCCGATATTCATATGAGCAA